CATATCCATCCGTCCGTCCGTCCGTCCGTCCGTCCGTCCGTCCGTCCAAAAGATGCAAGATGTTATAAACTAGACGGCGGTACGTGTAGTTGATTATGAAAGATGCGAGGTGTTATAAAATAGGAATGATGCCACATATGGCGCGTGTCACCGTTCGATATAGTGCGGCGACGTACGCTAGGGGGAGCGTTGCAATAAAATCGAGTGGGCAAAATGTACGGAGGATTCATGGTTTACCAGGTTTACCTCCGGAGCTTCGCCCACTCATCATCATTCACTTCGTGGATATGGCGGCATTTTTTTTTTGGGGGGGGGGGGGGGGGCGAACTTCAGGCGGTAACTAGTTCCAGTCCGATATTGTGTGCGAAAAAAAAAGTTCAAAAAGATTTCTCGTCCGGAGACACTCCTTAACCGCAAGCCTATGATCTCTTCTTGATGGCAAGCCCCACCGCGGTGGTCTAGTGGCTAAGGTACTCGGCTGCTGACCCGCAGGTCGCGGGTTCAAATCCCGGCTGCGGCGGCTGCATTTCCGATGGAGGCGGAAATGTTGTAGGCCCGTGTGCTCAGATTTGGGTGCACGTTAAGGAACCCCAAGTGGTCGAAATTTCCGCAGCCCTTACACTACGGCGTCTCTCATAATCATATGGTGGTTTTGGGACGTGAAACCACACATATAAATCAATTGAAGATACTGTACTTCCATTCAATTTTTTATTTATTCGCACAAAAGAAATTATTGCTAGTGGCATGAAACCCTGTAGAACAAATCAACCATCTTTTTTTTTTTTTGGGGGGGGGGGGGGCAACTTCAGGCGGTAACAAGCTCCAGTCCGATATTGTGGGCGAAAAAATAAAAACCTTAAAAATATTTCTCCTGGGGAGACACTCCTTAACAGCAAGCCGATTATCTCTTCTTGATGACGAATAATGTGGGGGATGCAGATCTATTGATGCCATGATCCCAGTTTGATTATCTTGTTTTGAGTAAAATAGCGGGAGACGAAGACTTTTGCGGTGTTCGTTTAGACAAAGCCATCCCAGTGTTGTTTTCACATTCGCTGCACTGTCGAATCGATCACATTGTCCCCAAGACATACCTTGCGAAGTTCGATTGAGTGTATTACAGAGCTTTAATTCGTATATAGTGCTTGGTATGGATCCCATGCAGGGACCGTTACTATTAATTTGTTGTTGTGAATTTCGTAATTGAGTACTCGCGTGTTAATTTTTATTTTATTTATATCTTGAATACGGCAGACGTGTAGTTCAAGAGGGGAGGGAAAGGGGAAATGGTACATACTGTGAACACGTTTAGAAAAAAGAAAAAAAGAACAAAGAAAACGAAAACAGTTTCACAAAAATAGAGCTAATACGTTTGTCAAAACGCTACAAAACAAATAACAATTAGGATTATGATGTCGATTTCATTATACGGTTGCATTCGATTGTAGAATTCGTAAACGTGTTCGTTCTCGTGAAGTAACGTGTTCATGCATGTTGTCTATACGGTGATGTCTACTTCTGGTTAATAGGGGCGATATATATAGAGATGAGTCTAGGGGTGATTTGTTCGTGTGAAGCATGCAGTTTACGAAGTTCGACTCTCTGCTTTTGTCTTATCATCTCGAGTGGTTCATCATGGTTAATTTTCATAAGTTCTGCGAACGAATCTGATCTTGAGAATTTGTTAGATGTGGCTCTAACTGCCTTTCACTGCACTTTATCGAGGTTATCGATATTAGTTTTAGTTTAAATATGCGACTCAATCAACACACATATTCCAGTTTAGTTGTAATCGGGGTGTTTACCATAGCATTTTTGCATCAAAGGGGGTTTCCATGATTGGTGCATCATAAGGCGTAGTTTGCATTACCAAATACTTCGCGCTGATGACAATCTGGGCTCGTGAAAGGTACCACGAATTTTGCAGAAAGTTTTCTTACTTGAACCTCATGCAAGGCGAAGGACTCATTCGACGCTTCCGTTTGATTGACAGCACGTTGACGTAACCTGATGGAGATGGCGTCGTTCATAGTTATCATCATACGTGTGCAATGCCAAGGATGAGGAACGCCGAGATGGCTTGCGATAAAATACTGCGCGATTATGATTGAGCGTTCCGGCCTTCATATGCGTAATCTAAACTTAAATAGGTGTAATTGAAATCGAATGGTTGAGTGACTTATTGTATTAGACTTGAAGGAAAAAATATTAGAGGGCAGGTCTTGTTAGAGCCATGACTATTCCAAAGTTCAAGTTTTCTTGCTTGGGAAAAAGAAAACGCAAGCATAAACTCGAACTGCACACCATAAAACACCTCACAAACATTGTACGCACATCAGCACTGATAACTGGGATAGTCGCCAATCACTGAGTGGATGAAAAGGTGCGTACAGGACAGATTGACATTCAATCGTACCTAACACTTCGTTTTTCATACGGCGTAGAATACAGCTGAGAGTAAAGCTGCCTTTCAATTCTTTCAACTCACAGTGGAAAGTGCTTTACAAATGGAGAAAACGTCGGCAGTGCATAAACGCCAAAATACCTAGTTTACTTGCACAATGTTTAACACAATACGCTAGCTATGCTTCCTTTACTTAGTCACCTTTATTTGGTCAACGTCGTCTTCGCACTTGTTTTCCTTGTTGTTGGTGCAACGTATAATACTTTTTGAGGGACTTTGTGTTATTACTGTGTTCAAACAATGTTCACGTCTGTAACTGTGTCCTCCCTATTGCAGTAAGCTTACAGCTATGTTTTTATTTTATTCAAAAATTTGATATAACCGAGTCAGAACTTTGTTTAATAAAGTTAAACATTTCACCACTTTGTTATTAAAGTGGTTGAAATAAAATTAGATCGTTATGTCGCGCGCGTATTTTAAACGTACTTTTTCACGTCCCGATGCATTTTTTTATCTTTAGAAGCAGTATATGCCACGTTTTTTGGCGTATAGGTAACAAACGTTTAAAGAGAGCTGTTTTGGGAAAGTAAGACGTGTATGGCACAGAACCCGAGATGTTAGAAGAAAAAAAAAGCAGGAATACATTAATGATCAGTCGAAAAAAACACAGCTAGACAAATAAGTAAGCTCTCGTATCGCGTATGCGTAGCGTCCATAACGACGTTGCGCACGTAGGAACGCCGTGTTTCAATTATAGCGCATGCGCAGATTAGAGCACATGCACTTTATGCGAAATGGGGCGTTATTACGTACGCAGTAGTAAAAAGAATCGCTAATAGGAAGCAGCCATGTGTTCAGTAACATGCATTTACTTTTATGTCAGGCTTTCTGTAATGAAACGACTTATTCATTATAATAAATGAAGGCTATACTTATAGAAAATAAGAAAGAAATAAAGGGCACCATTGACTTCAATGAGGAGCAGGGGACATATTGTTGCATCTATACGACATGGCCGCGCAAACCATACACATGTGTTAACACATTCAAACCCCCCCAACATTACTTGGGTCATGCACGGGGTATACCCGCTGGACTCTGCTCAAACCTATGTGATGGTTAAAAGGAAGTAACTACTAGTTTACGCATCACGCCATATTAAATGACCGAACACAGATGTCGCTTCACGCAGCATCGCTTTGTGGATACTACAGATACAAGTTTGAATTGATTTTTTTTTGTATGAGGGGATTTTCAAACTTGAACATCAGGGATATGGAGAATATTGTTGTGTCGGTGGGTTTGACACGAGAAAATAAATAAAATAGAGCCAGCTTTTATCACATTGCAAATATATCTGACGAAGAATATCGAAAACTGAAGAAAGCTACTTGCGAGCTCAAGAGCATCAGTCAATGCGTTACGCTGAAAGGTCTATACATCTGGTAGGAATCGCCTGTGCACAGAAATCGTATTTGGTCGATGTTTATGACAACGAGAACATTATTTTTTTTTCTGTATAATAAAAGTGAATTTCACCTGCGACAAGCTCCCTGTCAAAGAAAGCAGGAAGATAAATTCACGTTGATAATTCTGTATTGATCCCCGTCATCATGGCAAATGAACAAGTCTGTGCTGCTTGAAGTTTTCCAAGCGCATCGCCTCTGCTACCGTAAACAAGCATGCCACTCGTATTGTCCCTACCGTCTTAAACAAACAAAAAAAAGGCTGTTTTAATTTCTGAATAGATAGCGTCCACGAAAAGTTGCTTCGTGGTGGTATGGGCTGTTACAAAGTTTCACACTTTATATCACTAAGAAAAACGCTACTTCTGCGGCTTATAGTAAACTCTAAAACCGTGCTTCTGTTGATATACGCACGGAATCGAATGGAATAACCGAGATATCACCCTAGCTGTTTGCATGATTTACTACTTCTGTTACTGGGTGACAGCTATGACATATACAAGTACCAAATAAAACCTAGAAAAACGCATACATTCGCATGTACACACATGCACAAAATACTTATTTGCAAACATTCTTTGAGACTTGTCGGTCGGTAGAAGGTAATTTGTGAAGAGTCAATCTCTGACTTTGTGAATGCGCTTTTTTAGAAATACCCGAGCGCAGATCCTATATGCCTTACTTCAGTAAGCATGCAATAAAATACCTGTGTGTGTACCCAATGCTTGTCGGGATATACAGTAGCTTAGCAGGGGTGATCGCACTCAGAAATACAACTCTGGCAAATGGTGTGTTGCATTGTTTGAAATTCTCTCCTATATGTGACGCTTTACTTTCTCACGCGTTGCTCATTAAACTCTTTCTCCTCGTAGTTACGAGGTACGAATGCGAATATTCACTTTACGTTATAAAAAAGTGAAGTTCATTACAAATTAGTGCACTCGTGTAATTCCGAGTTTCGCGCATCATGTGGTGCGACGAACTACAGCAGCTAACTTCATCTGAAGAAAACACCGAAAAGCTCCGGTCACCACTCGTTGTCGAAGCATACACTGTCAAGACTTTGCGATATAAAGCAGGCGAAAGGCATGCAAGGTGTAAGGGGGGGGGGGGTTGCATTCGCTTACCACCAACTGCACTGCGCGGGCCGGTACGAGAAGCAGACGACGAGCCCAAACCAGACCGCAAGCAGAGGGCCCGGTCTCACGCCCATGCCGTCGTGTCCGTCCCGGTTTCACACACACCGCGTACTCTCGATTGCGTCAGGTTTCCGGCGCTGCCGGCTTCGCCACCCCCGATTCGCCGCAGACATCCATAGCCGAAAGTGTATCGCGCAACGGTCCCCTGGACCGCACGTCGATGGCGCACCCGAAAAAGCGCGTCTTCGTCTGCGAGCCGCCGTAGCAGACGCGCGCTCTTCATCCCGCCCACCAATGGAGGCTGGGGCGAGAGGGCGCTGGCGCTCCCCCCTTTCACCAATCGCGTCACGGGGCGGCCGATTTGTGTTTTTCACCCACACCACCTCCACGGTGGTAGTGCCTTTTTTTTTTCTTCCCCCGCATTTTGTTTTCGCTGCACGGCTTAAGCAGAGTTTATGGGTGAGAGTGTGCCCATACGCGAAACCCTGCCGGCTGCCCAACATTCGAGTGTGTGTACTTTTTTTTTTTTTGACCTCCCCTTACGTTCTTTCAAGCTCCAACGAAAGCAAAAGTATACACGAGTCCGCACTGGATGGGGAGAGATCAAGGGAGCAGCCAGCGGCGAGTAACTCCCCGAACTTTCTCGTGTTACATAACGCGGAATCCGGGCTTACGCAAGCCGACTAAAAGCGGTGAAGTTTCTCGTCGTAAGCCGTATCAATTAGCATGGTGTGGATCTCCTATAAAGTGCGGGAAGCTTATGTAGTTATGCCGGCTGAAAGCTTATTATAGCGGGGCGCTGCGTCATTTCCTTTCTTTCTTTCTTTCTTTCTTTCTTTCTTTCTTTCTTTCTTTCTTTCTTTCTTTCTTTCTTTCTTTCTTTCTTTCTTTCTTTCTTCAGTGTCCACCGAAGAACACGCAGTTATCTTTCCCCTCAGTGTATGTCGCAGTTAACACAACAGTGCCAGAATGGCGGCATCCTCTCTTTATGTACAACATTATGACACTTCTGTTCCTTATAGTGAACTCTAAAAAACTGTACGAACAGGTTGAACTTTTTGTCATGCATTGCTCAAGTTTTATAAGATCTCACAACAGAACATGACTGAGCTCATAACAGTTTCATGCAACTGCCTAACTACGAAGTCCATCGCAGCAAACGGCGAACAGTGCACGGGATAACACACAAAAACCTCACAACATTTTTGTGTCTTGACCTTCATGCCTAATAGAAATATTCTTTGCTCATCCTCTTGGCGCACCGTTGATGGGATGTCGTTGAGGGGCCTATGCACTACGACGAATAAAAGTTGGGGAAGTACGGCATAAATTTATATGTTCATGCAAATTTAAGAACGTCTGGCAAATGCCGAGTTAAGCGATTTTCATACGACCAGCGATCGCAGTGTTCGTGTGATTAACTGTAAGCGACCTAAAACCAGAAGGAACGATGGGAGGCCGTCGCCTGCGATACAGAATTCCCTGGCTCTTAAATGCAAAGAAAAAACTGTTAGATGAAAGAATCGCCTTATTTAGGAGTGTATGAAAGACAAATATGCAAATATAGTAAATTGTGTTGCACATTGCGTTTTCAGGGCCAACGTCGGCAGGCTGGATACTATGTTTTATTGTTTCTCATGATGCCCGTCTGTCGCTTACGTTATTTGCTCTACTGATTTTACTATGATGATTATGATGTTGACGTTACTCGATCATGTGTTTAGTGTGTACATATGCGGTTGTCTTTTAGTTATATTGCTTCGCCAAGCACCGATTCTACAGGGTTCAGGGCCTCAGTCAGACGCATGCTACCACCTTTAGCCCTGATCCTTTTGGTTTTCTATAAGAAAACTAACATATTTGTGAATAGGAAAAAAAAACAAGAAGAAAATTGTCTTTGGACTTGAGTCGACAATTGTCGGATCGCAGTCCAGGATTTCTGTTTCATCTGTTTCACTTAATGGAAGCGCTCAGTCCTCAACTGCATTCAATGCGCTTTCCTATAACGTGAAAGCCTTATAGATGTCTTTTCACACGTGAAAATTGACCGTCGGCGTTGTCGTCCCGCGTATAGGCGTCAACACGAGCGATGCAAAAAAAAAAAAAATCATCCCGTGTCTTCGGCACCATGGTGTCCCGGACGAGAAAATTTTCGTGGTCATCTTAACGTCACTATGACATCACACACGTGCCGTCACGTGAAGCCGACGTCACAAGACACCATCGCTTGGTCACAAGCGGGCCGGTCACGGAGGCAACGCGAAACAGGGTCAAGTGCAGAAAGCTTGAAATTCCTCCGATCTTGGAGGCAGTGCAAAGCCACGGTAGGTGCTGAAAGTCTTCGGAGTGAGGTAGGTTCAATGCATCGACTGTGAAGAAGGGAAGAAGAAAAGGAAGACCAAAAAGAACAAGAAGTGGAACTTGAGGAAAAAGGAGAAGCAGAAAAAGAAGAATGTCGCCTTCGAGTCATCCTAGGGTAATGCATGAAGGAAGCTTATGGTTTTTCGTGATTGCACACCCTAATATTGACGCTTACTCGTTCTGTGACGTGATAAGGTACGGTGGGAATTGAATTGTTTGTTCATAAATCTTGATTGAACTACTGGAAAATTCTCAATGGAAGCAGTAAAGTTTTCTCGAAGGGTCTTTTTTTAGGTGTGAAGCTCCTTATGGCGTGGCTTGTGCGTCCCCCGTTGTTGTGCGTAACCGTCAGTGGCACATATCCGAGAGATTGGGTATGTGCCACAGGGGAAGGAGAGAGAGATGATCGCGCGACTACAATCAGTATGAAAAGACGCGAGATGGCGGCACTTGCAGTGTAGAATATAGATGAACGGACGGACGCACGGATGGACAGGAAGACAAGCAGACAGATGAATGGACGGATGCGTGGACGGGCGGACGCACGGATGAACGGGCAGACGAATGGACGCAGGGACAGACGCACGGAAGGACGGATGGATGCACAGATGGATGGACTGACGCACGGATATACGGACGGACGCACGGATGGACGGAAGCAATAACGAACGGATGGACGGTAGCGCGGACGGAATGATGGACGCTTAGCTCCACTTATCATGGTTCAGTTCATGGATATGCTGCAATTTTTTTTACACCTCTTTGATTGAGGGGATACCAAGAGGATTCCCCGAACCCCAACTTCAGATGGCACTGGAACTATTGGAGATAGGTTTTTGGGCGCAAAAATGACAATGTATCTTATCCACGAAATGCATCGGCAGAACAGTTTTAGTTTGCCGCTGCTCTTTGTTAAATTATTTACGTTTACAATGAATATCAACGAAACGTAGTATAGTTACGCTTTTCTTACGTTCACCGACGCTTCAGGGCATCTCGTATAGATCTCATGCAACCTAAGGGCTGTTCGCAGAAAATATTTGTCGTTGACAAGTTTCCACATGGTTAGCAAGCGTCATGCAAGTCGCAATTAAATGCACCACCGCGGTGATCTAGGGGCTAAGGTACTCGGCTGCTAACCTGCAGGTCACGGGATTGAATCCAGGCTGCGGCGTCTACATTTTCGATGGAAGCGGAAACGTAGGCCCGTGTGCTCAGATTTGGGTGCATGTTAAAGAACCCCTGGTGGTCGAAATTTCCGGAGCCCTCCACTACGGCGTCTCTCATAATCATAAGGTGGTTTTGGGACGTTAAACCGCACATATCAATCAATCAATCAATCAATCAATCAATCAATCAATCAATCAATCAATCAATCAATCAATCAAAGTCACAATTATTATTTTTTCCTCCACATATTTCTGTCATATAGTGAAGCCAGAGAACTTCGTATTTACATACGGGTCGGAGGATACCGATTGGAGGACATTGCGCAGAGGGAGCGCGTCGCCTCGAGAAACTCTGTACAGAAACTGTTCAGCCTACAGCAGGCCATCAAAGAAGTTATGAAGAAGATCTCAAACGAGGAGGAGAAAGTGCTGGCTAAGTGCGAGGAGGCCAACGATCTGCTAGAGAATGACCGGAACTCGGTGGCAGTGGACATAACAGGTGAAGCTAAAGTAAGTACAGGAGTTCTGCTGACCACTGAGGATCGAGATGCACATGAATAATAATAAAAAAAAACTTGAAGGAGGCCTGAACTTCGCCTTCAAGAGTAGAACGCTATTTGTGCGTGCATCACCTTTTCAATGTCTATAGCCTGCCGTTGGTTCTCGCTGCATGCCTCAACCGTGCCCCACGTAAACTAACGTCTATGCGAGTAACGTTGGCCGCTTCAAAGTATCCTCTGAGAGACAGCTATAGCTTACCTGGCTTAGCAGGACAGAGGACTTACCGGGATGGCGAAATCAAAGTGCGCAAGCGGGGTAATGTACGTGACCCGTACCTTTCACCGTATACGCACGCTATTTTTTTCAGATTTAACGTTACCGTGTTAGCGTGGTTGACGTAGTGCACGTAAAACATGGCGGAGGTTTCGGACGCCCTTCGTAATGGTTGTGGCGTAGCTGTTGAAAGATTCACTTTGTTCGCAGCAAACGACTGTTTAAAATGGTTTCGCTTGGCCGAGCATCATGGATAAGTTAGCGAAGTTTTTGTTCAGATAGCTTTTTATTTCGAACGTCTCTAAGCCTAACTAGAACATTGATCATAGTTTCTCACAAAAATGTTGTGATGAACGTGACGATTTTTTGCTCACAACCACTGATGCCAACGCCCACAACGAAATTTTTTGCTAGAAAAAGCTCTTTAGCGCTCTCGCGTTAAAACGACTGGGAAACCAAATCGGTGGCGGCGTGCTCTCGCGTTCATCAGTGGCCGGCGCGTCTCTTCTCTCTCACTTTCCTTGATTGTCTACGAAATGGTCGAGAGAAAGTTTACAAAAAAAAATCCACAATCACTTGATTGGGTCCACACCAACCACCATGTTCGTGGGTAGGGACAAAGATGATGCACGACCTGGCAGTCATTTCGTGTTATGCGCGAAGCAGGCTGCTTTGCAGCAGTGGCTGGTGTAACGTAATGCAAAGTTCAGCACAGAACGGGACTGGGAAAGGGCCGTTAAAAGCTTACAGCTCTCAGCCCAGCTCTTGGCAGTCCAGAAAGCCTGCGAACGGGTGGAGGGTCGGGGTCTTCCAATATCAGCGTGGGCGCGGCCAGCAACTGCGGCGGACCCCTCTTTGGGGGGTGTCTAATCGGGATTCTCCAGCACCAAACAAACTTTATTTCACCTTCAGCCCGGCTGAAAGACGTACAAGGCTGCATTTTCCGTAGGGAC